GTCGGCCCCATCTTCCGAGGCCTGCTGCACATGCAGGACGTGGATGGGAAAATGACAATTAGGGCAGGTACGTCGATGACGGCTGCGAAACACACACGCCCCCCTCCCCCAACCAGCCCCAGCCACCCTCCATAGCATCAGGAACAAGAAAGAGGGCAACGGGTAACGAATCCACAAGGAAAAACAACCCTGGCACAGATGTGCCCCACAACTACCTGCCTGCATCAAACAAATCTGCCGTACTCCGATAGCCATATCCGAGTACGACAGCATTTTAATGCCCCACATAAAACACATAAGAGCCCCGAGCCTCCCTCCCCTCTTACCTCCATTCCCGGCCGGACGTCGGCCCCATCTTCCGAGGCCTGGGGCACGTGCAGGACGTGGATGGGAAAATGACAATTAGGACAGGCACGTCGATGACGGCAGCTAACCACACACGCCCCCTCCCCCAACCAGCCCCAGCCACCCTCCATAGCATCAGGAACAAGGAAGAGGGCAACGGGTAACGAATCCACAAGGAAAAACAACCCTGGCACAGATGTGCCCCACAATTACCTGCCTGCATCAAACAAATCTGCCGTACTCCGATAGCCATATCCGAGTACGACAGCATTTTAATGCCCCACGTAAAACACATAAGAGCCCCGAGCCTCCCTCCCGTCTTACCTCCATTCCCGGCCGGACGTCGGCCCCATCTTCCGAGGCCTGCTGCACATGCAGGACGTGGATGGGAACATGACAATTAGGGAAGGCACGTCGACGACGGCAGCGAACCACACACGCCCCCCTCCCCCAACCAGCCCCAGCCACCCTCCATAGCATCAGGAACAAGGAAGAGGGCAACGGGTAACGAATCCACAAGGAAAAACAACCCTGGCACAGATGTGCCCCACAACTACCTGCCTGCATCAAACAAATCTGCCGTACTCCGATAGCCATATCGGAGTACGACAGTGTTTTGATGCCCCACGTAAAACACATAAGAGCCCCGAGCCTCCCTCCCGTCTTACCTCCATTCCCGGCCGGACGTCGGCCCCATCTTCCGAGGCCTGCTGCACATGCAGGACGTGGATGGGAACATGACAATTAGGGAAGGCACGTCGACGACGGCAGCGAACCACACACGCCCCCCTCCCCCAACCAGCCCCAGCCACCCTCCATAGCATCAGGAACAAGAAAGAGGGCAACGGGTAACGAATCCACAAGGAAAAACAACCCTGGCACAGATGTGCCCCACAACTACCTGCCTGCATCAAACAAATCTGCCGTACTCCGATAGCCATATCGGAGTACGACAGTGTTTTGATGCCCCACGTAAAACACATAAGAGCCCCGAGCCTCCCTCCCCTCTTACCTCCATTCCCGGCCGGACGTCGGCCCCATCTTCCGAGGCCTGGGGCACGTGCAGGACGTGGATGGGAAAATGACAATTAGGGCAGGCACGTCGATGACGGCTGCGAAACACACACGCCCCCCTCCCCCAACCAGCCCCAGCCACGCCTCCATAGCATCAGGAACAAGGAAGAGGGCAACGGGTAACGAATCCACAAGGAAAAACAACCCTGGCACAGATGTGCCCCACAACTACCTGCCTGCATCAAACAAATCTGCCGTACTCCGATAGCCATATCCGAGTACGACAGCATTTTGATGCCCCACGTAAAACATATAAGAGCCCCGAGCCTCCCTCCCCTCTTACCTCCATTCCCGGCCGGACGTCGGCCCCATCTTCCGAGGCCTGGGGCACGTGCAGGACGTGGATGGGAAAATGACAATTAGGGCAGGCACGTCGATGACGGCTGCGAAACACACACGCCCCCCTCCCCCAACCAGCCCCAGCCCGCCTCCATAGCATCAGGAACAAGGAAGAGGGCAACGGGTAACGAATCCACAAGGAAAAACAACCCTGGCACAGATGTGCCCCACAACTACCTGCCTGCATCAAACAAATCTGCCGTACTCCGATAGCCATATCCGAGTACGACAGCGTTTTGATGCCCCACGTAAAACACATAAGAGCCCCGAGCCTCCCTCCCCTCTTACCTCCATTCCCGGCCGGACGTCGGCCCCATCTTCCGAGGCCTGGGGCACGTGCAGGACGTGGATGGGAAAATGACAATTAGGGCAGGCACGTCGATGACGGCTGCGAAACACACACGCCCCCCTCCCCCAACCAGCCCCAGCCACCCTCCATAGCATCAGGAACAAGGAAGAGGGCAACGGGTAACGAATCCACAAAGAAAAACAACCCTGGCACAGATGTGCCCCACAACTACCTGCCTGCATCAAACAAATCTGCCGTACTCCGATAGCCATATCGGAGTACAAAACGCAGCAAAACACACATGCCCCCCTCCCCCAACCAGCCCCAGCCTCCCTCCAAGCATCAGGAACCTCCATTCCCGGCCGGGACGAATCCACCAGTAAAACAACCCTGGGGCACGTGCCCCACACCTACCTGCCTGCATTAGGGCAGATCGTTGTACTCC